TCTTAATGGATAAGGTGGATTATTTAACCGTCATTGTTGTGATCTATTGTAGATGGAGATTTATTATAATAGATTCCAGGGGTCTTGGAATTCCTGTTTAACTAGATTTACAAAAACAGGATTTACAGTCAATTCTTCGATGGACTTTGATGTCATGGATTTTTATTTCATTTTATTTTATTTTAATTTAATTTAATTGTGTCAGCGTCAGCGAAAAGGATTTTTAAAATTAAAAACGCAGAATAAATGGACTTGAATGATTTTGCACAAGGAGAGTGGATGTTTTCCGTTATTTGGAATTTTCCGTTTCGTTTGGATCGATATTACATGTAGAAGATGTTTTAGTTATTGCGAATATTCCTTTTAGTCTGGATTAAAATTACGTGTAGATTCTGTGTGGAATAAGTTTTTAAAAAGTGATTGAGAAATTTTGACATTTTACACTCTCAGGAAATACCAGGTATTTCTCCAAAATTTATGATAGGAAAACATCAGCATTTACCATTTGTACGTGCTTTCACTAAATTGAATCAGATTTATTTTTAGACCGTGCTGTATTTTGGATACAGAATAGTTGGCAAATACGTTACGGTATACTGGGCTAATACAGAACGATAAGTAGCTCCACCCACCATAGTCCCGTTCTGTATTGATTTATACTTAAAAAACATGTTTTTAACCAAAACAGGCGTAATAACCTAACTCTGTGGCCTACTAAAACGGTTGCCAATACAATAAAAAAAAATGACGGCATAGTAGCCTCTTAGATTTTGTATATAAATTAGCTTATGGATGTATTGCTGAAAGATTTTCATAAAAATCTTTGGTAAGTTCATACATTGAGACAAAACGTGATTTATAAAAGGTTGATTTATTGGTGAAAATATTAGATTAATGTATGGTATTATTCACCAAGCAGAATCGAGAGAAATTCATGTACCTGGTCTCTTGATGTTTATTGACTTCAAAATAGCATTTGATACAATTTCAGGGAACTCCACAACAAACATTTTGCTTCTCTATTTTTGATCTGTCAATTTGATTCTGGATAGTACATATGTGTCTATAATAATATAAAATCTGTGTTATCTAAAATTAGATTATTTCTATGTTTTTCTGCCCTGACAGGGGTTGTAGACAAGGTGATCCTATTTCACCATATTATTTTGTTGACTTTGTGCAAAGATTCTAGATATATTTTTTAAAGAAAAATAAAGATTTAAAAGGTATAACCATCGATAGTGAAAATACAAGTTGTCCCAATTTGCAGATGATACATCTGTTATTTGTTTTGGCTCTACAATAAAGATACATAGTGTTAATTGTTAGATTATCGTCGATATATCTAAATTTTGAATTGAAGGCCAAGTATTTTTAAAAATAAATTCTGTTTCGTCTGAAAATAAAACAAGTAAGCTTATAACGGATCACAATGAGCACCCATAGTTATTCCAACAGTTTGTTGGAAAGCTCTGTCTTTGATGATTACATAGTTGGTGTCATTGAGAATCTCCAACATCCGTTTTATACCAACCGTAAAGCACTTGTGTGTACAATCATTGTTTTTTACCAAACACAAGATGTGAACATTTCCGAGTTCCTTTTTTTATTATTAAAAAAGCAGTTGCCAATGATATTATAAAGTATAACGTTTTATTTATCATAAGGTATATGGTTGTACAAGTACAAAGTATAGAAACGTTGTACGTTTTAATGTCTTAGACTTTTGAAATATTTGATGATGTTAAAGTTTTTTTTTAGAGTTTTCGATGATCCACATATGTTTGAAATCAATTCTAGTATACAAGGTAGCTCACTACGTCTAATGTTTCTCCTCTACAGCAGTGAACATTTTTCAAGGAGTAAAATTAAGGATTTGGTAGAGCATTTGATGAACTCAGCAATGAATCTCTGTTTGTAAGGATTATTGTGAAGATATGGATCAAAAAGTAAAAGTAAAAAAGGAGTTGCATAATGGCACTATATAATAAAGATTCAGTAAAAGTTTCATTAAATTTCGATCAGTGGTATAAAAGGAGTTTTGGATGAAAGATGGATCCCCAAAGCATAACAGCGGGACGGACAGACATCTCAATCGCTATATACCCTCCCTCTTTTCCAGCAGGGGGTATAATTAACATTCCTTGGAAACCTTTTTATTATGAAGAAAACACATTACGGGATGGAATCTTACCAGTGAAATGGTCTTAATACCAATGCCTTTTATTATGAAATATTATGCAGTAGTTAAAGTATATCATTGAGGGAATTAGCAATATTCCAGTTTCGCAAAGCCAAGACTATTTCCCGAGGCTACATAGTCCTTGCCTTTGGAAAATTGAATCTTGCTAACTCCTGCAATGATAATACTTTTAAACTGTTTAGTATAACGATACAAATGTAGAATTTAGAGACTTCAGGTAGCTTGATTTCAAAGCAGGAATTGGCTCCCTGAACTAACACACGGGGATTAGTCCATTCACATATCACATCAATGTATAAGTAAAATCTAGAGGATTACGAATAACCGGTAATTAGTGGATAACAATATATATTTAAATGTTCTAAGGCCATTTCTGCTTTACAATTTTTGTTTATGTTTGGTTCTCTGTCTTGGAGTTGATCTTGATTAGTCACTTAACAAAGGGATACCATAGCTATTGTTCTTTCGTCTAATTTTTATATTGAACAAGTGTGGTGTATGGAGGAAAGTTTGGATAATCGGATCCCTTTTCTTTTGCACTTGTTTCTGGTTGCCTATTGAAGTTTTCGGGGTCAAGTATCTGTTTGCTGTAAATCTCTTCTTCTGGGACTTTCAGATTGCCAACGTTGTGTACTAGATCATACTCTACATCATGGGTTACTTGAGTGGAGCAGATATTGGACCAAGCAGAATCATAATTACCACTTTCAGTAAATAGTCTAAAGAATCATTTATCGTAGTGTGCAGAGTCAATTTCTTTGTAAAATATATCAGTTTTTGTTGCATTTTTCATATTTGATACCAGATCATAATTTGAATTTCCATCGAAGTTCATATTTCTATAGATTCGTGTTATTGCCTCTGTGATCGGTCTGCAAGAGATCTCTTGAATTTCCCCCGTTCTCGTTGATTGGAGTTTGTTCTTAACCTTGTATTTCACACACCTACAATAGATGAACTTAATAATATTTTTAAATGAATTTCCTTTATACTGATTAAATATCAGAGAAAGTCTATGCAGCAGAAATTGATTACCAATAGATGCACGTTAAGTCGATAATAATCATGAGGGTTGATAACACTCCACCCAAAGCAAGAAGATGGTATTTGTATACTTTCAAAACTGTGTGCCAGGAACAATCATGATTAGAAGCTGGAACAATATAGTATCAATCCATGAACAACACTCAGCATAAAATAAATTTAATTAAATGAAACATACAGAATGATCCTCAGTAATCAAGACGCTTCATTTTCTGGAGGTAATTAAAGGGAAACTAGATGTAGAAATATCTGTTAGAGTCACCCGGGCGACGTGGTGGTTGTAATTTTTGCTCATGAGTCGCGGAGAAAGGAGCTGTTTCTAACCTAAGTTTTCAAGTAGTACTTTTACACCTTTCTCTGATTACTCACCCATATCGTTCAGGAAGGTCGCATGGACATCGATATGAATAACACATAATCACCCCTACTAATGTTATTGTGATTTAAATTCAAGACACGTGGTTTAGGTTGATCAATTCAAGGGTTATAGGGTAGAACCGGTTTTATAAATAAAATTGGCAGTAAACATGATATTGCTATAGCCTGTTTCTTTTCAAAACATGCCCTGTAATAAATGTTTCCAGACCTTTCTGAAAGACTTTCATGATTTTCATCAGAAAAAAGGGTGACTAGAGATGGGGGTGTTAAAATATGCTATAAATCAGATATAAATCTGATACGCTTTGGGGTGCCCATTTCTTATCCACAACTCCTCTTCTACCAGTAAATGAAATTGAATCAGGCTTCACAGAATTTAATGAGGTTTTCACAGAATCTTTGTCAAATAGTTCCAAGGCACACCTTCTATTTTATTTTTTGATCTGGCACATTATTTGGGCTCCGTTACCATTACATGGATACTGCCATTCTTTCTAATATTGAAAGGTATATCCATCTCTTATCCGCAATTCCTCCATTACTCTGAATAAGATTTAATGATACTTAAATAGATTCTTTAATACATTGTACCATTGTACATGTGACCTCTTATTTTACTTTTTGATCTGACACTTATTTCGGGTTTCCCAGAGCAAAACATGGACTTTGTCATAATAATCATATATGAGGAGTGGGGTATCATTCAAAAGAGCTCTGTGTTCACAGTACCCCTAGTTTCTCTTTATCCTTTGAAAATACAAATAACTGTCCGTCCGTCCGTACAGCTGTCTGTCTGTCCGTCCGTCTGTCTGTTACGCTTTGGGGTACCCATCTCTTATCCGCAACTCCTCTTATACCACTGAGTGAAAATTAATAAAACTTTCACGGAATCTTTGTTACGTATTGCCATTGTGCACTTCCTATTTTACTTTTTTACTTGATCCGACACATATTTTGGGTTTCCCGGCCACAGCAAAACATGGACTTTGCCGTTATAACCTTATGGGAGGTGGGGGTATCATTTAGTGAGCTCATTGCTCACAGTATCTCTAGTTTAATTTAGGCTTGAATTGAATAGGTATCGCTAGATTATTAGGAACTCATCGACTTATTCGTAACTAGTAAAATGGACACCTATGTTGTTCTGCGAAATAATATTTTTTTTTTGGGGGGGGGGAGGCTGTACTTATATGAGACAATATTTAATTCCTAAAGTCATTGAACTACCTTGACAAAAAATTTAGATTTTGAAATAATGCCTCGTATATTTATGGCACCACCGAGTCCGTTTCTTATTCGGAACTGGTCCAGTAACTGTAATATGACATTAAGTAAACACATAATGTTCAACAATCCTCATATATACTTTTTACCATTATGATAAAAACGACTTTAATTTACCATTTCCAATGCTTTCTACACTTCGATTGCAGTGTTCTACATAGTTAGAAATTGTAGAGCCGCTGCCACTTGTAGGAGTTAAGGAGATAATCGTCTTGAGATTAGAGGGCTTTTCTGAAAACCAAGAGAATTAAAAAAAAACTATTTTATTTCACGCTTTGTATATGTATTTAGAGTAGGTGAGAATAAACATACCCAGGTCTCTGCAACCATACTTAAAAGAATTATTACAGGCCACATATTCTGTATGCTTTCCTCCTCTGTGCACCATGCACTGTGTCGGTTGAGGGATTTCTGTGTCAAGAAAAAACATAAATTCATGTGTGTTTTATGGTAGTTAATATAATATGCACAAAAATATTTTGTGCTTCTTTGTTCTCTTTCAACAAAATTACCTTCCATTTGGGTATTGTGAAAGTTTCCTATTACGTATTTTTGCCCTGGTGTTAAATACTGTATTATCTCTTCTAAGATGGAAATGATATCTTTTAGTTGAATTGGTCTCTTACAAAACTCATGTCTCTTTCCTAAGGATCCATTACATACTAACAACAAAGGAAATAAATGTTTAGTATTGAAATTCAACTGATTACTGGAAAAAAATATTTTCATGATTGATCTTTAGTCTGAGTTTTAATATCTACTTACTTAAGGATATTACATATTCCTCTACTTCCTGAACTTCCAAAGTTATAATACCTTATAATGATACAAATAAATTTAAATCATCATATGCGATCAAAGACTTCTGTCATAACTTTTTTTTATTTTATATCATATTATGACCAAAATTGATTAAAAAAAAATGACCGCGAAAAATTCGAATCTGAATAATTGAAATTAAAGTATAATTATTATTATTATTATTCAGAATACACAACTGCAAAATTTGATCACCAAGTTAGGCGGAGCTTCATTGTTTTTGTTTTCTTTTGTTTTGTTTTTGTTTTGTTTGTTTGTTTGTTTGTTTTTTGTTTTGCTTTGTCTTATCCTTTTGAATTTTATATTCCCTATGAGTTTTTTGTGTGTGTTCTTGGGCAATTCTCGCTTGGTTGTTAAAAGTGATGGACAAGTAATGTTGTAGATTTTGATTGGAAATTCTGTTTCTAAAATTACCGCACTTCGGAAAAATATCGCAGTGTTTCTATGGAAAATGAGACATAAGAATGATATGGAGAAAACGAACAGTATTCAATATCAAAGTCCATAAAACAATAAAACATAGGAGCATAGGAGTAAACACGGACCTCAGGGAACATCAGATACGGGATCAGGTGCCATGTCTTTTTCAAGTTAAAGATCCAAGTATGAAACAGATGTGTCAGACTCTGTGGTATCCCTTATATCAAGCTCATTAGGATATATCGTGTCGACGTAGGATAACACATTTTATTTCTTCACTGCAATATTTAAACACTGCGACTGAATTTAAACCTCCTTTTTTATTTTTCGTGACGTCACATCAACTACGACCTGACATTTAATTATTCGATTGTTTGTGTGAAAAGAAGAAAACACTTGCTGTGGCCTTCATCTCGACATTTAGATATATCGCCGATGTACTGTCAATTAACAATGGTAATTTCCATTCCTATGACGATACGATATATCATGGGTAGCTTGAGATAAGATACCACAGAATCTGACACACCTGTTTCATACTTGGATATTTTACTTGAAAAAGACATTAATGGTTATCTAACAGCCAAGCTATATGATAAACCTGATGACTTTAACTATTCTTTCGTCAACCTTACTTTTGTAGCAATATAACTTCATCACCTGCATACAGAGTTTATAAATCTCAGTTGATTCGATACGCAAGAGCATGATTTATGTATGAACAATTTCTAAAAAGAGGTAAATTATTGACAAACAAGTCGATGAAAAAAAAATATCAGCAGTCTCGTTTAAAGTAAACATTTCCTAAGTTCTTTGGTCGATGCAATGACCTTGTCAGCAAGTAAAATTTATCATTGAGTCAAATGCTGACTGACGTTTTTCATACCTAATTGTTAGTCCATCATTTATGCACTGAATTGACGACGGATTTTCCCGTTATTTCCCGATTATGACAAGTTGCGCACGGCAGGGGATACTTACTCCTCCATGGCACCTGATCCCATCTCTGATCTTTTGAGGCCCGTGTTTGCTCTGTTTCTATTTTGTATTGTTTTATGGACTTTGGATCTTGAATACTATTCGTTCTCAACATATGTTTTATTTTATTTAAAAAAAAAAAGATTGCCAGTTATTGTTTATAATTCTAATAAATAAATAGAATAAATCGAAGTATAATATATCCCTGATTTTTTTCTGGCGAGATATCATGTCGAGTTTTTTAAAAACAAAGGGTGATATTTTCAGTTGCATGTGCGACCAATTTGAAAGTAAAAGAAATTCGTCATGTCCAACAACTTTGCTGTTGCACTTTTGTATTGTGTGGTGATAATTCAATGCAACGGGAAATAATAGAAAATTTGTTCTCCATTTTTTTTATCTAATAAGACAATCGCTTAATTATATGTCTGGATCGGAGTCAATATGACGTTCCACAATGGCTTCTCGGTAAAACGAATGTTTACGTGAAATCGAAGAAATTGGGTTCTAACAGCAATCGAGAAAAAGATAAAAATCAAATCTTAGTGTAGAAATGCTGATTGATATGAATGATGACAAACTGTATTATAATGCGGTGGGTAAAAGCAAAATGGTCGATTTTTCCAAAAAGGCGTTGCATTTATTTACTGATTGCTATGCTAACGCATAGCTCATGAGTTGGTCAATCGAGTGATTTCTATTGACTTAATTTATGAAATTGCGAATTCATGTGGTCACCGTTATTATTAGCAACTGCTAAAAAGACACCCAAAGACAATTTGACGTCTCTACTTTTGCTGCTTTACAGAAGAGTGTTTCCAATTTTAGAAAAAGCAGGTTTATAATTTTTTAGAAGCTTAAAATAGAAACACCTAGCTTAGAACACTTTTTGTACTTGATAATGCAATCTACTTTAAACGGATTAGATAGCACCGGCAACTATAGAGAAAAATGATAAAAGAGATTGATCTAGTTTGCGCCAATTAGATAGAAGCTGTACACATAAAGACGAGAAGTGACCCCCGAAGAATATTAACCCCGTGTTCAATTTTCCACCTAGAAATTTGACCCCTGGTAAATATTCTACGTAAGATATTCGACTTTTAGATTTAATATGTTTAAGAGTGTTTAATGACTTTTATAAAATAAAACTGCAATGCATGTCTAGTTATAGAACTGGTGTAAATTTCGAAAGTCCGTAGCGTCAACCAGTCTCCTAACAAACAGTACACATTGTGTCCGCAAGACCATTTAGCCTTGGTCTACACACGTGCGATGGCGTTGTCAAAATGGACTCCCGCGAAAGAGAAAAGGCAGACCTTTTTTTCATTTTGAATATAAATTCTGATTGAAAAAAAAAAACGATTGTTTAAAAAATCCCCAGTCCAGTTCGGGTTTCGTTAAACATTTTATAGGTACTCTCCTTATGTGTAGTTTGTCTACAGACGTGCAGGAGTAGGAATTGAAAATTCCGTCATCTAATATACTACACACACAGAATGAGTTTTTTTTTCTCTAGGAGGAAACTAATAATTAACGAACAATTAACATGATTTTACTACAGTTGTTGATAAAGTATAATCAATTCATTGGTGAAAAGATATCAACATATTTTTTTACATTATAATTTTTGTTTCTTTTACGTATGACATACATAACATTATTCTTATCATGAACAATTATGTTGTATCTACTTATTACTGATGGAACTATTTTCGTCGGAACAATTTGTGTGAGTCGCCGCCGACTACAGTAATATATCTTGCATTAATAGTAAGCACTGATCGAATATATTAAAAAATGACCACTTTTTTGTAAAAATTATGGCCTTGGGGTCGTTTTTCTCGATGTACATTCTATAAAAATGACCCCGTAGTATAATGACCCCTTCTCAGTTTTTTTTAATACAAAAACATTCGTGTTAGTAGGAATATTCATGTTAGACGGGCAACAACAAGCAGCCCTATGAAGTGTTCATTTCTAAAAGCGAAATCAAATTTATATGCTAAACCTTACATTAATAATACAAACTCTTTTATTCCCATTAAAGGAAAACAATATACATTTAAATATTCTAAGACTATCGGAGCGAAGATACGCGTATTCATAGACATGTATATTACATTTCATACAGTAAGTATCAACAATTGTTTAATATGCAAATATGCAAAGGTAGTTTGTTCAATGATAAAACTCCTTTTGCTGAAAGTATTTCTTTGATTCATAAATATTTTTTATGGGATTGTGTAACAGCTTTCGGAATTTCATCCAAGTGTTGGTTGATTGTACATGTATTGTTGGTTTACCTCCTGTTCGAGAATTTGTCACTCTTACAGAGACGTCGCACTTTACCGGTGAAGGGCTTCAAATTTACTCGGCGCTCAGGTCCCTTGACCAGTGAAATTTCTATCATGCCAAGACCTGTCTGACACGTAACCTCGGTTGTAAATTCTCTTCCAAAGACCCCTACCCTAACTTTCACTTCAAAGTGGTAAACGATTGGGGAATATGCAGTTACTTTTATATCGACATAAGACAGTCGCGACCGGGGCTTGAAGCTTCGAACTTCCGATCAATCTCTTGCGAATTTTCATGAATGGATGTAACGTATAAATTATAAGAGGCTTCTAAAACGACAATCTCACAAATCTGCCTTTTGCATTAATTTCATCGGTAATTCTGTATTCGTATTGCAAAATCAGTATTTAAGAAAATGCAGAAGAAAGGAAGAGGTTACAGCAACCATTTGTCAGGTGTCTGTAGGCTAAAAAGTGTTGAAAAGGAAGTTTTCTCAATGAATTTATAAATATCTGTGAATGATGAACTATGATATAAATTTTTGCCCGTTTTGGGGGATTTTTTAATACTGTAAACCAACTTTTATTCGCGTGCGAGAAATTTTCGCGAAGTTCGCGAACCTTTAAATGCGAATAAAACACGCCGCGAATATAAAAGTCTATGTGTATATTTACAACAGAACCTAAATAGGCTTGATCGAGAAAATTAATTGTCGCGAACAAGTTAACTCCCGGTAAATCGCGAAATAAAGTCGTCGCGAATAAAAGTTGGTTTACATTATCATTTTAAGAACGTTCTCGATGTGTATGGTATATATGGATATATTTAAAAAGTATGTATCATAACGCAAAACGCATAAGGATACATGTAAGTTTCAATATTTTAAAGTTCTAATTTCTGAAACTCTACTAAATTATGGTTATCAGAAACATATGCCATTTTCAATAAGAGTAAAACCTTTAAATGTTAAAAAAACACCCGAAAATATGATAACAAATTTATACTTCTCAATAAATCAATATTCATTGAGATTCTGGAAAGGAGCAAACATTCCCTCCTCCCTACATTTGAAAGTATGAAAAATATATACACGCACACACACACACACACACACACACACAGATATAAGGTTATATTGTAAAAAAAAGTTTGGGGTCAAATTTTTCTGGGGGTCATTTTAAACTTGAGTGGAGTCGTAGAATTACTGGTCTGGACTGGCTCTCTTCGGTTGAAAATGACCCTACTTATCGTAGAATATAGATCTTGGGTTATTTTACTATGTAGAAAAATGACCCCTGATCAATATTCTACGGGGGTCACTCTTCGTCGTTACACCAGCAACTACATGTTAAGAGAAAATTAATAAAAGAATTTGTCGTATATGTGGATTAATATTATATAAATATTGCATGTAGTTGAGTGTAACATTGAAAATTTTCACACTCCAGCCATATTTTGTCAAAGTATATAACGTCGATGGTTTTCACAATAATTTTCAAAATTACACTCAACTACATGCATTACTTATTATATTATGCTGAATGTTTTATACAAATACATATTACAGTGAACCGTGCGCGCATAAATTCCGCGCAGTCGCTATTTTTTGTAATACACCCGTCGTCAAGCAATGTTGACTGTTGCTACGCAGGAGACACATAATTATTCAGCGGGTTGTAGTGTTTTTTATCAAATGTTTCTCGACGAATCAGATTCAAGTAATTAACATGAAAGTATAATATAAAATACTGTTTACCGCCGCTCAATACAAATTTGGCTTTTCCCACCCATGTGTCATTTTGAAGATCATCTCTCTCAGTTGAGGGGCGTTGCTCATGGATATCACAGATTGCCATTGAACTTTTCCAAGTGGAAAAACGGGAACATTCAGTTAACTCCAGACATACAACTGAAAAAGCGTTTGGTATGTAATGTGCATATAAATGTATGATATACATGTATATTGAATTTAACTCGGATTCTGATCTATGAACAAAAGATTGACACATAACCAAGTTTGATGTTGTTTGTGTTCCTCTAATTTTTTTTTTCTAATGAAAAATATTTTTTCAGACTCCAGACATATTTTGGTAAAGTATATAAACCACACCAATCTCAAAATACACTGACAGTATACTACTGGATAGTGAACACTCATCAAGTCCATATGACATTATCAGGTACAGCACAATCTCTTGATTAAGCTATATAGCTTTAAAAAGCTATATAGCTTTATTAAGCTATTCAAAATAGCTTGATCAAGATATCTATATGCAGTTTTTCACAAAAACGTTTTTTGCAAGAAATAAACAGAAACTCGGAAATATTTGACTATTCATATCTGTAGTATGGCCTATCAAAAATATTATACAACCTAAATCATGGAAAGTTCTAACATTGCTGTTGTTGAATACTTTTAAGCAAAATATGAATTTCCATTGTTTGATTAACTGTCCACTACTTTGGGTGCGGTGAGGCGTGGATAAGTATGATTGCTTCTCATTTTGCTGAACTTTATCAATCAATTATCCTGTTGGTCATAACTGGCCTCCTTTATAATTTCATTCAAGAAAAACTGTGTGGTCACTCATCAATAGCTCCAAACCTTAAGAAACTTTGAGTACAGAGTCTCTCGAGGAGACGCAATTTGGTGAGTGATTTTTACATGCATTGTATTTGGAAGTGTTCAAAGTTTATTATATTTCCTCTAGATCTACACCATGATGCGACTTTTTACACTTGTTGAAAAAATAACACATTTGAGAAAAAAGTATGATAAAATAGCTTAATCAAGCTATTCTGAATAGCTTAATCAAGCTATATAGCTAAATCAAGCTCCATATAATTGCGTTATGGACTTTGAGATTGTTCGTTATCTCCATATCGTATCTTAATCAAAAGATTGTGCCGGACTTGATTATTAGCGCGTTTGTAAAGCATTGTACTTCATGTATCTTATTTTATTTTAAATTTCAAAGACACATAATTATATGCTCATTTATTTCTTTTCCTCGAAAATATGAATGATCTTATTATACAACAATCATATATATTCTTACCTGTCACAAAAAATATTTTTCGTATTATTTCTGCCATCGAAGAAATCCTTATATTCTTCAAACTTGTTTCCTAGTCCTACAAATATGCGTACTATTTTGCATAATTATCGGAATTAAGGAAAATAAATTTCAAATCATGTGATAAGCAGAAAAAATAAACTAGTCGGGGCGGAATTCATGATACACTCTCATGAAAGAGCGTTGATTCAATAACAGGAACTAGCCATTTCAATTTCGTTCTCTTTTTATAATAATACAATTTTAATTTTTCAAATATTGACATTGGTCTTTGCATAACTTTTCATTTTAGAATTGATGTAAAATGCATGATGTTTTCATGTTCACTGTTTGGTTCGTTCGTTTAATTTTCTTTATCTGATTTATCTTTAAATTTTCTGTCGTCATTTATACATGTAAGATAAATAACAAATCAATCCATCAAATCTGGTGTTAATGTTACTTTTATATGGATATGATATTAACTATAAACTGTAATATATAGGCCCCTATTAGCAAAAAACTAGCTTCAGTAAACTGTAAAATTACACTGGAGGACATAAAAGAAATTCATTATCAATCCATCGTTAAAAACATTTTAATAATCTGTAAACATTATTTCATAGTTACGTTCTTTCAAAAACCAAGTTTTCAAATACATTTTAAAAACAAGAACAGAAAACGTTCTTCTGTGTATTTCCGCATTTTGTACTCAATACATACTTTATTTAATGTTTGAAAGAAGGAAGATTTGATTTATTTTTAGAACTTTAGAAAAAGAGAGTACATTTGTGCACAATTATTGCTATCAATCTTCAATTAAAATTATCTATCAATGTCCAAATAAACCTGTTGATGAAATTTACATATATATTGTTTTTCGAATGTTCATAAAATGTATTTTCATTATAATAATCCTCAATTGATCATACAAACTTGTAACTTGTATATCAGTTCCAAGATTTTTTTCTTTACAATTTTTTTGATATTTGCTGAAGCTGTTTCTAACTTTGGGGTCCAGTTTACATACATTTTGCGTCTGTCTGCACCTTTTCTTTAACCTTATAATTATTAGCTGCAGAACAAGAATTTTGGGATGGTCAGCACAATTATTTCAGTACGTTTGCCTCTTGATATTCACAAAAAAAAAATCAATTATGGAATGGGATAAACTTTTAAGTTGGTTTCTTTTGTACTTTCCGCAATTGCGCAACTACACAATACTCTGATATTATATTAAAGCATGTTATAGTGGAAAAGAATAAACCGCGAGAAATTTTCAAAAATTTCAGTAATTAAGCAGTCTTTAATAAACAAAGATTGCATTGAAGTCTATGGGGAAAAGCGTTTTTTTTTATTAAAAATTCAAATAATTTAAATATCAATAAATCCTGCGGTGGAAAGATGCATTGGAACATTAATCAAAGTACTCAGAAGTACAGAGAGCCGGGCTCATTTACAGAGTAGAATGGATTTCTTACTTGAATCACGTTTATATTCTGATGAAAAAATTATTTTAAAACTATCAATATAAATGATTATTTTAAAACTATGAATATAAATAATAAGACACTGACAGTGAGTTTTTCAATCCTAATACCACGGGCCGATTTTGTCAGAATCAGAATTAATCTCGTACCGCAGCTGAATGTAAACAAACAGGCCAGTCTGGTTCCCTCTCCTGCTTTATCTCGTATGTGTAGAGAACTACGGTAACACTGATTATCAAAAATCTTTACGCTAATGAACTATGTTCTTTGACTTATGAAGTTTTCAAAGTCATTACTACTAATGTTTATTTTATATAAATAAAAATTCGTTTTATTTTTGTTGCTTTATATAGCATTTGTATTATCTCAAAAGCGGTTGATAGTAAGAACTATATTTTTGCACGTAACTTTGAAATGGCGACTATGGGGTTAACATCCTGCCTTGAACAGGGTCACATAAGCCGGCAATTGCTCTTTGAGCAATAAGTCCGGCTAAAAATAGAATGACAATTGAAAACAAATATTTTACTGGCTAAATTTTTTAAATTATTTTTTTATAAATTAAAAAAGGGGAGATAACTCTTACCAAAATTCAAGGTCATGAATTAGGACACATCCCACGATACATACTTATAGTAATAAATGGGAAGTATGTCTAAATAAACAGAGTATTCAATGCCTACATATCTGTTATGTTTTCAATTTCATTGAATTTGTTCCTATACTTTCTATTTCCACTACGGAAGAGTTATGGTTCTTAGTACGCTCTTTCGTAGAAGAGTAGGAAAAGTTACAAATCTCGCGAGATTACCGGGACAAACATAACAACGGTAAACTAAGAAATGTTTACGATGTGAAGTCTTATTAAAACTCAAAAAAAGGATGCCAGTGAGGCACTGCATTGCAGTGGAGTGTACATCAGACAGTAGAAAAGATAAAGATGTTATTTTTTACGATCTACCAAAAGTAGAATCTTCTCTAAAAAACTGGTTAAATTTAGTCAGACGAGAGGGGCTGAGTGTTGATCCCACGCTTGACAATCGACATAACGTCGTGTGTTCGAAACATTTCGTGGATGGCCGCCCCACATTTGAGAACCCCCTGCCAACTCTCTTTGCCTACAATAATTATAAACAAAAGACACCTAGAAAAACCAAGAACTCACATCAGGGCAGAACAACTGAAGAAAAATGCACTGCAAACGATCAACCAATTCGTAAAAAAGTGAAACTTGTTAAATGTTTCTCTGAAAAATGTTATCACTATGTTGCTGGCGAGATTGACGTTTCAGACAACGTAACAGATGAGAATAATAATGAAAAAGGTATGTTTAAATTATGATATTTAAAAAATACTTATTAAAACATTAAAACCCCTGTCACACCGGGGCTGCGTCCTCACGGCGACTGCACGGCGTCCTCAAAAAATGCAAAACGCCGAGGTGATCGCAGTAGAGTCTCCTACAGCGCCGTGACAACGCGGCGAGATCTCCACTGAACGCCGTAGGGTCGCGTAGGGTCTCCAAGAACGCCAGGGGACGGCGATCATTTTGAGCATGCACAAAGTACGCGCCGTGTGATCGCGGTCTGATAAGAACGCAGTAGAAACGTAGTATGATCGCCGTAGCAGCGCGGTGAGATCTCCAACAACGTAGTGGGAGCTCCGTATAAACGCCGTGAAGTCGCACATGATCGCGGCACGAACGCAGTGATAGTAGACTGCGCTTCCACGGAGACCCCACGGAGATGTCGCGGAGTCCTTGGAGATGTCACTACGTTTCTATCGCGTTTTTACGGCGCTTCTAATGAGATTTATCGTCTTGTGATTTTTCGGCTGCGATTACACGGCGACAGCACGGAGTTGTCACTACGGTCATTGCGCTCCCACGGCGTTTCTACAGCGTCCGTTGGCGATCATAATGCGCTTTCACGGCGTTGTTAGAGCGTTGTCAGCCACCTCACAAAACAAGAGCAATGGGATCATATTTGATGAGCTATAACGTATTTGTTGCACTAGGAGCATTTATGTGGAAAAAATGGAAGAGAAAATTACACAAGCACTTGTTCTGTTGTTTCAATTAAAATTTGTACAAAACTTTTCGGTGTGTTTATTTTTTTTTTTTAACATTAAAAATAAAATAAAGAAAATCTAAAAACACAACTGAACCGATGAAATTGAAAGAAAAGGAGTTTATTCATAAAATTATTAATAATTTAGTAATAAATTATTTAAATATAGAACATTTTCGATTATTAATATTTCTTGGCATGATTAGAAGTCTTTTCATCGTGTAACTTGAATCTTTAAACAAAAATATTTTACATTCCTTCTAAATATATATCAATGAGTATAGAACGCATTGTGAACGTATTGTGAACGCAGCCAGCGCAGTGAGAATGCCGTGAACACGAGGTGAAAACTCCTAACGCGCCGTGAAAACTCCGCGAAAGCGCAGTCAAATCGCCGAGAGATCTCCGTGGGAACGCAGTAGAACGCCGTTAGATCGCCGTAGAATCGCGTCCGTCGCCGTAAGGACGCCGTGACATCTTCATATTGTGAAAAATTAACAGAAATTTGTGCAATTTCCCTGCGATTCCACGGCGATTTTAAAAATTTAACAACGACGTAATGACTCAGTGTGAACGCAGTTGGTGTGACAGGGCCTTACATATTTATATAAACTGTAATATACATAATATTGTAATTTTGAACAGTCTCATCTGGAAATATATATATTGCTTGTTAGATATGAATGTGTGACAATTACATGTACATGTAAATGATTTAATTTCACTTGTATCAAGCAATTTCATTGGCTGAATCATTCAGAGGATCATATAACATTTTGTATAACATAACTTGCCTACGTCACAATGAGTTACGTCAAAAACGTATTACTCCGCTTGACGTTACTTTTAAAATATTGCTCAATTTGAAGCCTTTTTTCGGAGGAAAAATTGTCTCATTGTCTACACTGAAATTAAATTATAAGGAATGAAGCTTATTTCAACTTATGTTATCCGATATAACAAAACTTGGGCAGTTTACGCTTTCTTATAAACCGCTTCGCGGTTTATAAAGCGTAAACTGCCCCAAGTTATGTTATATCGGATAACATAAGTTGAAATTAGCTTCATTCCTTAAATATTTCAGAAACTGGTGAAGTTTGTTCAGCGTTTGAAATGGTACAAGATCATAACTACACTTGTCACAATCCAGATCTGAAGTATTGTAGAGAAGAAGAACTGATACAGAGAGTTAGTGTTTTAGAAGTGAGTTAATTATGCATATGAACAAGAGAATTTCAAATTCAACACATAACATTATATTACTATTAATGGCACTTTTTTGTTATCATCTTATTCAACATACTGAATGCTGAATATGCACTGAAATATAAATGCATGTACTGCTGATGATTAGGTGGTTTGTAGGTAGTAACTGATAAATCATAATTGTAATAAATTTTCAGACTGAATGTGAAGAACTCCGAAAGGAAAATAAAAGGCTATGGGAAGAAAATGAAAGACTAAAGGCAAGGAAAGTTATCCTCAGAGAAGAATTGCTGAAAAAAGTATTGCAAGGAGATGAAAGCATTAAACATTTCCTGGGATTACCATCCCTTTGCTTTTTTGCAACATTTTTACAATTTCTCACACCATTCTATGGGAAGGATATGGAAATAACGAACAGTATTCAATCTCAACGTGCATTAAACAATACAAAATAAGAGCAGAGAAAACACGGACCCCCGAAACATCAGAGGTGGGATCAGGTGCCATGGAGGAGTGAGCATCCCCTGCCGACCGGTCACACCTGCCGTGTGCTCGTTGTCATAATCAGGAAATAACGGAAAAAATCCGTCGTCAATTCAGTGTATAAATAATGGACTAACAATTGGGAAAATCTCATTCTGGAAGGGGGCAGGACGGTGCGGTTCAAAGAACTGGCAGGAAAAAAAAACAAGAAAAACCTTGTAAAAAGAGAAAATTTACAATGTTGGAAGAGTTTGTTCGAGTTATGATGAAATTAAGACTTGGTTTAGACAATTTCACTCTGTCTGTGCTATTTGGTACATCTGCTGGACATATTTCAGGCTTATTTAATACGTGGATTAATTTCCTTGCACAAATTCTTCAGTTGGTGATCAAATGGCCATCTAGTGCTACAGTCAAGAAGCATATGCCCTTGTCATTTCAACTCAAATATCCCAACACTACCTCAATTATTGATTGTACGGAGATATTTATTCAGAAGCCAAAGAACTGTTCAGCTCAGGCAAGTACATGGAGCAACTATAAATCACACAATACTCTTAAAGCTCTAGTTGCTATCCAGCCAAATGGTGCCTTTACATTTGTTTCAAAGTTGTGGAGTGGGAATATAAGTGACAGGAAGATTACCATAGACAGTAAGTATATTGATAACATATGCCCCGGTGACGAAGTAATGGCTGACAGAGGATTTCAAATACGAGACCTTTTAACTTTGAAAGGAGCATACTTAAACATGCCTCCTTTTACACGGGAGAGGAGAAATGGAGTAGGAAGGGTGCTTACTTCCAAACAAATAATAGAGACTCGAAAGATTTCTTCCCTCCGAATTCATGTGGAAAGAGCAATTCGAAGGCTAAAATCTTTTCGATTGCTAAGAGGAATTCTCCCTTTGAAAATGAAGAATCTTTCTTCTGCCATGTTGCGTGTTGCTGCCGCCTTCTGATTTGCAACTTCATGCCACCACTTGTACAAAAATTTAAGTAATTTTTACAAAATCCGGAAAGGCTCAGATTGACTTTGAATTCTAGTCATGAATTATAACTAATGAATATTTTATCACATCTGTTGTCTCATTAAGCTTTGTGAAAACAATATATTTTATCAACTTCAATGAATCTGAATCACGCCAATTTTGTACTTACATTGTCATTGAATACAAAAATGAAGTCAGTCAAAGTATCTAGAGTTGTTTTAATATTATTAAAATATTGTTTGGAACATGTTATAAAAATAATGAAGTAAAATGGAGTAAATAAATAAATTCTAACAACTTTAAAAATTTAACTTTAAAAATTTCTTATGACAGAACAAAAAATATTCAAAATGAGTTGATCTGACATACATCACCTTCAATTCTGAAAAGTATTGCAACTACAATAGTCAAGGTACCTGACTAAGGCCAAAAATTAAAATTGTGTTTGTTTGCCCTTAGCCGATCAACTTATGAAAAGTAGCCTGACTCAAAATATTTTACTTCACTTTTCAATTACAAATTTTTTTGTTGTCAATAAAAATTTCCAAATGTACTAGTTCATTTTGTTTCATGAAGCATTAGTTCCAATAACAAAGAATATGTACATAAACATATTGATTTTTTTTATTTTAATAGTACATGTAATTTAATTTGAAGTCAAGAAGAAAAAAGATATTATATTTTTCCTACCTACCTACCCATTCCTTAAAATTTTGGTCGGTAAATGGCAAACAAACATATTTTTAATTTTAGCCTAATTCATGGTATATTCATGTGATGTAGATACATTCATGTACATGATATACTCAAACTAAGTTTGGCAAAACGTACTGCACATAAAATCTTTTAAGCTTAGCAAATAACAATTTCCAATCTGCTTTTGAGAAATGAATTCTCTCTACATAGATATCTTTTTGAGTATACAAAACAAAATCACAATGTGAAAACCTGCATACTGCCATTTGACCAAGCATTTGGACATAAAATGGGGAAGACAGATTCTTTTTCAATTCATAATTTCCATTGACAATTGCACATGATGAATTTTTTGACATAGCAACCTGAGATGTTTCATTTTTAGAACTGTAAGGGCATTTAATTTCAACAAGTCCTTTTCTACAACACTTGCATTCAGAAATGCCGTCAGGGGATGCAGCGAAGAAAGGAAAATCTTTGTAAACATAGATTCCTGTCTCTGAGCACTTATATGAAGGATGACAACTTGTCATGTGATCAGCATATTTCTCTCGAGCAACAGATTCATTTCGTTTTCCATATTCGACTGATTTTGAGGTGAAATGATACTGACCCATAATACTTCTTACAATGTAGTTGTCTGATTTATTACCTCTGTAGTGATAGGCATTGAAGAAGTTTGAAGCAGTCAGTCTACCTTTTCTCTGGTACTGCCACATAAGGTTAATGGATTGCCCTTTTGTGAATTCATTTACTTTTTAAACATAAGAATCGTCTACTTTCAAATTTTCCTGACCATGTATAGAAATTAGATCAATAATATTTTTAGGTGTGTCCTCAATACCCATAGATACATCATTTTCATCATCAGAATCCGAAAGTGTATACAATGCCACTGCTGGTGTATTGATTTTTTTAGTACTTGAATAATATTCTTCTCTAAAGACTTTAAATCCAAAACTGATGGCTGAAGTGGCAAATATCCAGAATCTTCCGACGGTCGTGGTCTATCTGGTACATTCGTGTCAATCCTAATAGACATGACCTTGAATATGACCTAGTTAAGCATAGTTATAATGAACAACACTTTCGGCAATATTTCCCTTAGTTTCATGCAATTTTGTCCATACATATTTCTTATGTGCTCATTAATGTAACTGTGCCCTCTCGCCAGTGGTGCACCCTTAATAGACAAAGGGTAGAGATGTAATTTTTCTAGTAAGCCAGAGAACAGTTTAATGTTTCATGTATTCAACTGTAAAAATAAGCCCTAGGATTGTAGACTTTCAATTTTTTTTAGTTCAGAGTCATCAGATGTGATATATGAATTCTTGTAATCGAAAGAATTAGTCTGCTTTCAGTGACAATTTTAGCAATATTGTTATAAAACCGTTTATATTATTCTGCCATAGAAAATTATGGTAGGGATGATCAATAAGAAAACATAGTAAATTTTGTGTGACATGTATTTGTGATAATATAACCACAAAAAAGAATTATTCTATCCACAATATTTATCTATATTCTACATCAGAGTGATGTACCCCCTAAAAATGTAAGCCTGGCATTATTTTTTTTGTTCATGGTATAGGGTAGGTTGTAATGAATGAACTAATGAGCTTGAGCATATATAAACAAAAGATGATTGTCATACTCAACTCAATTCACATTAGATTCATTTGCTCAGAAAATTGACCTCTTCTCATACTGACCTTGACCTAGATAGGGTTTACAAAATAAACTACATTTTTGCAGTTCCCATGTGTATAAAGTT